CGAGGCCGCGCGGCCTCCGCGCCCAGCCCCGTCCGGCCCGCAGGCATTGTGACGCTGGGGACGTCGGGGCAGACCCAGGGCCCCGCTTCGGGGCGCACCTCCCCCTCCCCGGGCCTGGGGCCCCGTCTGTAAAACGAGGGGGGGGATCGTTGAAGCCTGGGTAGGAGGAGTGCGGATGTCACTAATTCAGGGGCCGGGAGCCGCTAGCGGCGCCGAGACGGAGGACTTGGCTCCCTCCGAAAGCCGTCGGCCAACAAAGCCCAGCTGCGCGCAAGGAGCGCGGCCTGCCAGTCAAGTATCGCGAGACGTGGTAGCTCCGAGCGGCCCTGACAGGCGCAGGCGCACTACAGCTCCCGCCCCGGCCGCGAGCAAGGCTCCGGCAGCAGTGGACCAGGTCAGGCATTTGGGACAAAGCTCGCGAGACTTGACCGCGTCACATCAAGCCCTTCCTGTCCGGAGCCGGAAGTGAGGTCGGTGGCGTGCCTTGGCCCTTGCTTCGCGCCGCGGCCGTCTAGGGCCGCGGCTCGTCCGGCCGTGGTTTTCAGCCTTCCCGGAGCGAGGTGATGGGGGACGCCAAGGAGGCCGGGGCCGAGGCCCCGCCGGCGGGGGCCGCCGCCAGAGAAGGGCTCAGCCTCCTGCCCCCGGGAGAGTCCGAGGAGCCCGCCCCGGTGAGTCCACCTCGGGAAGGGAGCCGTCGGGGCGCGGGGACCCTCGGGCCGGGAGGGCTGTCACCGCTCCCCGCAGCTTCTGGAACCTTCTCGACACCTCCCTGCCCCTTGGGTCGGACGGGGACGTCACCGGGCGTGTAGCTGTTTACAGAGCGCTCGCGTCCATGGCCGGCCTGCTCCCGGCTGTGATGTGCCAAGAGCCGGTCCGGAGTGCGGCCCTGCCGGGCGGGCCGGGGCCTCGCCACCCCGGACCCAGTGCAGGGTTGGCCCGACCGAAAAAGCAGGGTCGGATCCGTGAGCCCTGGGCCGGCCTTGCTTAGATGGGTGCGGGACCGAGGCCAGGAGGAGCCCCAGTAACTTGCCTTGGAGTTAGGGGTTCAGTGACTGTGAGCCGATGGATCAGTTGTTGAACGTTTGCATAACCAAAGGGCCCCAGTGGCTTAGCCCAATACTTTGGAAGTGATGCGTGTGATTGCAATCAAAGTATTGTAAGTAGATTACAGTGCGAGCGAGAGACTTGGTACTTTAACTGAGGGCCGGGGTGCTGTCCCTGAGATTATTTTCTCTCAAGACTAGCACTCTGCCTCTTGAACCACAGCTCCACTTTCAGCATTTTGCTAGTTAGTTGGAGATAGTGTCTGAGAGACTTTCTGCCGTGTGCTAGCATCAAACCTTGATCCTCAGATCTCAGCTTCAGCTGTAGTATTATTAAATTTGGCATGACACTATTGAGCAATCTTGGTTTCTGCTTCTGCATCTTACATGAATCCATTTTAGAAGGCTTATTGCTTGTTCTCTAGCAGAAAACCATAACCATCAGGCTTCTTGATTCATCCCTTTCAAATTTGGTGAAAAAGAGCTAAGAGAATGGGACAGTTATGCTCAATTTTATTTTAAATTATTAACATGTAGCTTATGTTCTTTGTGAAACTTGATGTGGTGGCCTCTTGTTCTTTTCTAAAGGTGAGTCTCATTCTGATGAGTCATTAAAGTTTTGTTCAATGTGTTAATTAGGGATCAGCTTTATTTCTTGGAGGCAGTGAAGTGAAGAGCCGAGCTGTGGTGAAATACTCTTCTGCTCCTCCTCGAACAGCATTTGCACGCCTTGAGGAGAAAACAGACTTGAAACTCCCACCTGCCAACTGGTTGCGAGAAAGTGCCAAACTAGGGCCTGCTGGAACTACCATTCTTGGCAATAGTAAGAAAAGCAAGCCATTTTCAAGGTAAATTTTAGCTAATGCATTTTACTTGTCTGTCTGCAGCAAAGGATTTCTAACTCAGGGCCTTGTGCTGGTTAGATTGGCTCTCTACTGCTTGAACCCCGCCTTCACCCCTTTTTGCTCTAGGTTATTTTTCAGGTTTTTGCCCCCATCCAGATTCAGATCCGAACCTGTCCCACTACCTAAAGTCTCCCTGCACAGCTAGGGTTGCAAGTGTGAACCGTCATGCCTAGCTTATTGATTGAGAGTGATTCATTGCTGACTTTTTGCTTGGGCTGGCCTTGAGCGCATGAGCCCAGTCTCTGTCTTTTGGGCACTTGAAATTACAGGAATGAGTCACTGTGCTTGACCTCACTTAAAACTCTGAATACTTGTCTTTTAGTTTAATTTGTGATGCACTTTACCTTACTGAAAAAAAATTTAAAGATCATACTTTGACTTTTAAAGTCATTTTTCCCCTAGATAATAGAATATGATACAATCTGAAGCATATGCAGTGTACTGCACATTCAAGTCTGTTATGTTATTAATAAAGATGGATGTTGTCTACTTAGCCATTATAGACAACTTGCCAACCTTCTGATTATTGTGAAACAAAAAAAAAAAAAAATCACAGAGGTACCTGAGTAGGCAAATCTATACCACTAACTGATCTGCCCTTTGGAATTTTTCATTAAATGGCTAGGCATTTAATGTAGACTGTCTGATTTGAAAAATCCTAAATATAAAACCCTCACGTGGTGGAGACATATACATTTGGTTTTTTTTTCCTTTTATTTATTTATTTATTTATTGGTCTGGTCGTGGGGCCTGAACTCTGGGCTTGAGCGCTGTCCCTCAGCTCTTCAGCTCAAGGCTAGCGCTC